GCCCTGAGTCCAAGAGAAACGAAGCTTGGGAGGTGGAGAACACACCTACTGAGGCCCGTGGAGTCCTACGCCTAAGCGCAATTTGGAACAGACAAGGCAGCACACTGCGAGCATGAGTACTAGCAACAGCAATGATGATAAGACTAGTGATGAAAAAGTGTGCTTCCGACAGGCCCACAAAACCCTCCGTCTCTGGTCAGGAGGACGAAGAGAGAGAAGCCAATCAACCCCTAAACTCCAAGCCTAAGTGGGCCTATGTACACCCTTTTCGAACTTAGTCTTACATAGGCAGCTGAAAGCTCTGAAAGGAATCATTTTGGAGCCAAGCTCTACCCTAAACCCTAAGCCCTAAACCCCAAACCCTAAACCCTAAGCCCTAAACCCTAAACCCTAAACCCTAAACCGGAGGCTTTGGCCACGAATCGGGACCTTCCCGCACTGCTCCGCTACAACCTCCGCCAGGCCGGGCCCGGACCGGCCCTTCGCCTTCCGGGGCCTTTTTTTTAGGGTTTAGGGTTTAGGGTTTAGGGTTTAGGGTTTTAGGGTTTAGGGTTTAGGGTTTAGGGTTTAGGAGGAGTCTTGAAATATGGGAGGTTATGGTATAAAAGGAGTCTTGAAATATGGGAGAATATCGGATATTATGGTATGTTGTAGCATATTATGGTACATCATAGTCTATTGTAGTAAGTATAAGAGCCGTATGTATGGGGATGTAGCTCTGAGCTAGCTCACTACGTGAAGATAGGGCTGCAACACAGCTCGGAAAGCCACATCGGGGCATAGCTTCTTCATGGCTTTCTGAAACCTTTTCTGAAACCTTCTTGCTATCGCGAGGCGATCACGCTCGCGAGGGCCTGAGTTCATCGTTTCTGCATAGCAGAGAGAGATCACGGCAGTATAGGTTGCAGGTCTTCGGTTGAAGGGCCAGGGGTTCTGGGGCACTGTGTCCGGAAGACAATCATGGCTGGCTGCAAGTTTGCACGATGGGTGCTTGCTGCAGCTGCAGTAGGATACCTTAGGACATCTTCCTGGTCTTCATGAGCCTCGTCGGTGGACTGATACAGGCCACGCATGACCAGACACCCTCTCCTCCCCCTCTCCTTCCAGCACTCTCCCCCTCTCTCTCTCTCTCTCTCTCTCTCTCTGTCTCTCTCTCACTCAAAATGTGCAGTGCCCGCACTTCTTGGGCTATCTAGTCGAGGCTTGGACAGTTCAACCTCCTCCCACGGCTCTGGTTTCTTGTTGCAATCATCAGGCTAGAGGTCTACCCAAGACCCGACAGCCTGCACGCCCTGAAAGCCTGAATCCGGACCGTCGACCCGCAGGGCAGCGCCGTCCTCTTCAACACCCCTCTGCCTCTGGAAGTCATCGGTGGCCTGACCTGCTTGGGACTAGGCCATGGCAAGGCAAGGCCGAGGTATGGGTGCTCGTGGTTCACTTGTGCAGCTTGCAGCGTAACAGGTTCTTGGCCCAAAGGTTGTACCCGTTCTGCGTACACTTTGACAGCCAAGCTTTGAATTTCGTACAGCACAGATCCTGCGCTGCAAGTCAGCACTTCCTTGATCAGGGCTCAAACTCAGTGGCCTATTGAATTAGCCAACTTAGCATCCCAGCCAAAACACCATTGTTAGCGTTCAACTCTGGATGTTCTCTGCGTGGCCAAGGGCAGCAGAGATCTCCGTAAAAAGGCTTTCACTAGGTAGTATTATTAGGGGTACCCCTTAAAGGGTACCCCTTCTGAACCCTACTTTTGGCTCTCTTAAAAGGGACCTTATTGAGAGGGTCTATATCCCCAAGGGTCCCCCTTATCCTAGCTCCCATTCACCCCCCACACAGCCGAGGCTTGGCCAGTACGGCCATCTACTTCGCAGTGACCGGCGCCTGCATCTACTCGATTGTGATCAGTGCTGGCCTTACTCCAAAGTCTTCATGGGTAGTTCTCTAAATTAGGGTCCTTTTTAGAGTCCTTTTTATAAGGCCTTTCCCGGTCCCTTGTCACGCTGAAGAGCGAGACAACGATGGAATGAATATGGTGTGCGAAGGTATTCGATTACAAAGCTTCGCATCTTGCCAGGTCTTCACATGTGTCTTCCTAGGGTAACCAAACACCGTATGAGGTCCTAGAACAGCTACAACTTTGGGCCCAGCTTTGAAGCAGCGGAGTCCTCAGCCTGAAAATCGAGAAAAAAGCAAAAAACCCGAGGCCCCAGACATTTTGGTACAATGTGCCCCAAACCCGATTCTAATTACTAAGGGCTGAGGGTTTTGGAGGTAAAAGCCTGGCCAGAACAGCCCAGGCCCAGGCTCTCCAGGCCCTCAGGTCGAGTTGAAGCCCACTGACAGAGCCCAAGCCCTACCCAGAGAGCCCAATACCCCTTAATAGAGGAATATTACCTTAAACTACAGAGGGGCCTTAATATTATGAATAAGGTATAGGGGCCTTAATATTATGAATAAGGTCTATTCCTGAATTAAGATGTAGCTTGGGTTCTCTGGGTACTCCCTAAACCCTAAACCCTAAACCCTACACCCTGCCGTGAATGACCCGAGGCCTCACTGGGAAGTTCCCGAAGGGCCTCGGTGCCTGGGCGATAAGGGAGTCCCCTTATGAAGAACCCCCTAAAATTTCTTTCCCCTACCGTGCAATTCGATTTAGGGGTTTGGGGGTTTAGGGTTTAGGGGTTTAGGGGTTTTGGGTTTAGGGGTTTAGGAGTTTAATGAGGATTGGAAGAAGATCAAGGCCCCTACTGTACAGGAGTTTGGTATATTGATCAGGGGTTTTCAATTAGTTTCCAGTCTTTGGGGCCAGTCAGCAGAAAGGAAGGGAGTTGGCAGCTCTCGGACAGAGGACTTGGGTTCTAAGCAAATTAGACTACTTGGAGGTTCATGGATAGTTATAAGTAGGGTTATAAGTCCCCTGATATGAGTTATAATTACAGTTACCCTACTTATAACCCCATTTATAACTACCCATGAACCTCCAAGTACTAAGTTTCACTACTATGGTTCCATGTTGTCCGGGTTGTACGGGCGCTTCTTGCCAGAGTGGCACAGGGAACACGTCCTCGCAAGCCGAGAGCAGGTATATGGATCTCAGAATAGGCGTCAGAACTGAGAGTGCTGCAACCAATGTCAATCGTTAATTCATTTCTGTTCTACTGATGTTCTGCCGCGCATGGTAATCACAAGGAACAGCACTGAAACACTCGTTTCCAAATACCGATGACTTCTGTTGGTCACTAGTATCAGCAGTTGCAACCATATCACCGCCAGTTCTAATAGCATTTGCTGCCCCAATGATACACCCGCCGGTGATCTTCAGTGATAGCTGTTCTTCTAAATCACCATAATTTTTGTCTTTCGTAGTGTACTCCCTCGGCGCTCATTTTGCTACCGTACTTCTACGAACTGAACTATAAACTTTACGGCGTACACTTGCGTCTAGTCTAGTGATCCTTACGCGATGAAGCGGTTCAGAGTCCTGGCTCGTCAGTCGTCCGCTGGGCACTCCTGCACAAAAAATGCATCGCTCTCCCCTGTGGCATCGAATGAGATGGCGAAACCTAGAGTATTTCCCAAAGACCCCGATATCTCCGCAATCAATGCTAAGAATGCCTTCAGAAATTTGGTGCCAGAGTTTTTGGGCACAGCACAGGTCCCATCACCGAGCTTGCCGAATTCCAGATCTTTGACACCGCCCCGAGCGCCTTCCGGCTGTCCTTAGATCCTCAGGTTTCTCTTGCCCCGAGTGATGACTGTAAGGGCTTTAATTTTGGTAATCTAGTTCCGTCGGGTTGCCGGTATATCTAGTGCATCGCGAGCGAATGTGACCATGTCCCTAGTTTGGCCTCTAGATTATGCATTTCACCCCCGCTGCAAGGATGGCGATGAGGACACTGCCAAGTACTTCGACCAGCGACTCATGCAGCACGCATGGATCAAACAAGGCTTCTGTCCCGTTCATATTCGCTGATGTCAAGTCATAGTTAAGTCCTCAAAGTGTTCATGCGTGCATTTCTTGTGAACCCCATCATACCTAGTGTCAGTCTTACTTGCTGCTGTTGGCATCTGCAGTTTGTCATTAGCTGCATCCTTGGCATGCCATCACAAGTGTGACTGTGGCTTCGGTCATGACAATTGTACTCGGACTCGTACTGTAGCAGCACCACAGGGTTTATATGTGCTGTTGTATAAACTGCCCAGTGCAATGGTTGAGCCTCGGGTTCTGATTGCTGCTACTGTCCACAGCCTTCTGATTCATAGTGTGGCTTTGGTTCGGAGTTGCTTTATCGCACAAGATTTAGTTCTCTTCTCGCTATTGGTAGCATGTTGACCACTATTGCTGATGGTTTGCTTGCTGACACCCCGGAGGAAAGTGCAGTTATCGGTCCGATTTGAAGGGTCCCCCTTTTCGGGAGCTTAAGCAAGATTTGCATAGCGGCTCCGTTGCTCTGCCTGTGCCACAGTGATGCTTTTCCACAGCTGCTGCTCTTCCAAGCTTGCGTGAGAGTCAAACCGTGTCCGGAGCATGTCCAACACTAAATGCCGTGCCTACCTGCTGCACAGGCTATGTCCTCACAAGGACCGAAGCCTGAAAATATGAAATCGGCTCCTGCCTGTTTTGCGTTTTGAAGGGAAAAAACCGGAGTGAAGGGCTCGATAATTTGACTCTAAAGTGCCCATAAAAACGCGACAGGCTCCGCTTCCGGCAGACCTGTACGGCAGACAGTCTTTCAGCTCTCCAGACCTTTTCATCCGAGGATCTTCAAGAACCGACCCAAGGACGAGGAGGAGAAGTGAGCTGACAAGGCTTTGCCCTTGACAAGGTTAGCTGCCCAGAAGCTTGGCTTTCTCGCCACCTGCGCGGCCAAGTAGCATCAGCAGGCCCAGAATTGCTTGGCGGTTTGCATGTTGACAGAGACAGGTGATACCTGCCATAAGTGCCATAAGCACTGAGGACTTAGGGTCTGCAACTTGCAAACGTTGCGTTCCAATCTCAGATGTCTGTGCGGAGAAGCTGCCAAGCTCGTGATGGCATGGTCTTGTCAGATCGACAGACCTTCGCCGCCGCGGCATGGCAAGCAGTACAGGACAGGGCACCCTCTGATTGGATCGGCAGTCAGGCCCCAAGAATCTGATACCTTCGCAGAGGTATCTCTCATTTTTTGGGATCGGCCTCCAGTTTGGGCCTGACTGCGCAAACTGAAGCACTGGGATTCTTTTGATGCTCCTGTCATGGGTTGGACACAAGAGAAGGCGATTTTTAATGTCTTCGGACATGCTGCGCCAGGCTCAGCTCCACAGAGAGCGAGACTGGCCTGGCTCTGATGTCTTCACAGTACCTATAGTCTCCATTGTAGTTCCTTTTTTGGGGTTTAACCAATTCTATATTAAGGATCCTAAGAGGTAGCCCCAAAAAGGAACTACAACGGAGACTATAGGTATATAATAAATTTCTGAAACTTGCACTGATTGGGCAGGCTCTGCTGAACAGCTTTGCAGCCAACCCAGCCCCGCGGTTTTGCATGGCTTCTCCTTTCCCTATATCCAACCAGCTGTATCTGTCAAAAGACATGCAAAACCGCAGGTATCGAAGGACAAGATTCTTTTTCAGCTTCTACGGAGCATGCTCCTAGGACACAGACTTGCATGGCGTATCCGATAAAAAGGACTCCTAGACAAGTATGAGCACGTGGTTCGCTGGACTATATTCGGCTTCCCAAGTAGCTAACCACCAGAACATGCTGAATGACCTGGCCTGGCCGTCAACTTCCAAGTTAAATCTGTTGCCGAAATCGTCGAACTTCAGTTCCACTGGACGAAGGCCCACCGTTGACGAGACTTCTGGAATGGTGCGGTTTCATCTGGCTTGCTGGTGAGCCCATCCGGTCACGGTGTAAGTAGAAGCAAAACACACGCACACACAGAGAGAGACAGACACACCCGCCTGCTTCAACACCAGACAACCTCCAACGACAAAAAGGCTGGTGGAGCCAGACGTTGCAGTTGAAACCCTTGTCGCAAGCCTCCCAACTGGACGAACGGCTTCCAAGAAAATTTGTCCAGAGAGCCTCCATGGACGATGCACATCGCTGCGCCGTCACCAAAGGCAGCCTCTGCAAGCTCCCAGTAACGCACGCCTTATTACGCCAGAGGTAGTTGTGGTAGCCTTAAGGTCTGAGTCTAAGTCCACGATCGCATGTTCAGGGCCTTGGAACCCGCAGCTTGGGAGGCCGCGGGCAGTGCCTGCCAGGTGGAAGAGGCCTTCATTCTCAAGGCGTGAGCCTCAAGTGAATCGCGTGCCCCAACCCACAGTTTAATGGCCTGGTACTTGAGACGTACTTGAGGGGTAGTTGTAGGCTTCGTTCACAGGATTCTCACCGGATCACGGCCATGTGCAGTTTTGTTAGCCCGAGGCAAGTCAGCCTTGTCTGTTGTTTCGGACAGCTTCAGGAGTGCACTGCAATCCATCACAGTCATCACAGACAGCCACAACACTCAGTCTCCATCGGAGCAGGTTCTGCGCCAGTTGGTGGACCAGGAGATTCTCAAGAAGGAAGAGGCAGGGGCTTGAGCCAGGATGTGACATGGTGTCATGTGAGCTTCTTTTGTCTTCGGAGGTTCGGGTTCAAGGCAGTTTAGGTTCCCATCTGACAGCGCAAGGACTGTTACTGTAGCTGCGAGGTTTCGGTGGCTTCTCACGTGAGTTCAAGTGAAGAAGCAGCGTAAAGTCAAGGACGGAGTGGCATCGACACCATGTTCACCTGATTTAACCCGTACACTTACTCCCTGCATATGCGACAGATCAATATGGAAAATGCGTGTGTCTATGTGTGCATGTATACATATATGGCTACATGCCACACATCTCGCCAAGCTATCCTGGCGCTCCTTCTGCTGAGATCGTCCTACCCACGATCAGCATAGGCTTCCACCTTTCGGTCAGGTCAGCTCAGAGCTCGAATCCCAGCTGGAGGCCTGCGGAGCTCGGGGCACCTGAATTCACCATCTTGAAGGTGATGCCCTCGTAGTGCAGCTTCACGGTGGCTTCACGATCACCTTTAATGAATGAAGACAGCTCTGCTATGAGCACTGGGGATACCCGGAAGAGAAGCTGGAGCCCATGCCCCCATGCATGGCATCGGATCCCGGAACTAGAAACTCTCGAACGAAAGCACGGAGGCCGGAACTTCAGAGCCTGACCCAGAAAGTGCGTGTTGTTGTTTCTTGGAAGGTTTCTCCGAAGCCAACGCCCCTCAAACCCTTGGAGTGCTGCGAGGCCCTGTGGGACCTGTGCGTGGACGATGCCACAGCCCAGGCGGTGGTACGCTTCCGAGGCTTGGAGATCCTCCTGCAGGCTCAGATGCAACGGGAGAGCCTGCACAGCTAGACTTGGAGGTTCCTTGGGAGTTATAAGTGGGGTTATAAGTCCCCTAATATGGGTCATAATTATAGCTACCCTGCTTATAACTCCACTTATAACTACCCATGAACCTCCCAGGCCGCGGGGCTGCGGGCTAGTCGCTTCGTGCATGAGGCCTCCTCCTCGGGCGAGGGGCGCGTGGCAGAGGCAGCACTTGGCGCTGTGGCAAATGCGGGGCCCTCGTGGCTGAGGTCTGCCAATTTTGGGGTGTTTAGTTCATTGATGTTACATGTGGATGCTTCCCGAGGCCGAGCTTGAGACAGCACAGCTCGGCGCACGTTCCAGAAAAGCAATGCTGATAGATTTCGGTCCCACTACCTTAAAAAAGTCCAGTGGCCAGCAGGCAATGCATGATTCCTTGAACCGGGGACAAGTAACAGCTCGTCATCAACCCAAATATATGCACTACCACTACAACGATGACGACGAGGACGACGAAGAGAACCACTTCTACTGCTGCAACCACGATTACTGCCACCACAGCTACCATCTACTTTTTGATTGTTGCTGTACATCATGACTGCGGTCATGGCAGTAAAAGTGCAAACAGAAATCCATGCACTGCAGAGGTTTGCTCGCACTGGGTGGCAAAGCCTCCCCACGAGCCCGTGCCTGTGCAAGTGGGCGTCGTCCGTGTTGTTAGATTCACGGCTCAGGTTTAAAGATCGGGTTCTGGCTTGAAGATCGGGTAGGGAGTTTGACTGTTGCCGCGAAGCGAGGAGGACTGACTCCATGAAGGTTGTAAATTGCCGACTTCACTGACTGGTTCGAGATACTGAAGTTGGAACCAAAAGCTAACTTTCTCACGTTGAGCTTTCGCCCAGAAGCCCTTCGCCTACCGAAGAAATGCCATACTTGCGCAGCGCCGGGTCTTGAGATCTACAGTCCGCAAGACCTCGAAGCCAATCATCCCGGTAGCCATTAGGGTTTTGGGTTTAGGGTTTAGGTTCAGGTAGCCTTAGAAATAGGGCACAACGGGAATGACCCGGAGCGTTTGGACTCAAGAGGTGGCCTCTAGGCTTTTCGCTTGTCACAACATCCGCAGTTCATGCTCAGCATGCCAGGTTCAGGGGTTACCGGGTTCGGGGGTTGTTTGGCTGAGGCTCACGGATGTCGGACAAATCGCCGTCGCCGTGATAAAGCCTGGCTGGGGAGTCTTTCGTGTGGACGTGTTAGGTTGCTAAAGTCATTTCCTGGGGGATTTCCACATCTTGTTTTCAGAACGGTAGTACTTGCAATCACCGGACTTCTATTGATGTCACTTGAACAAGTGTTATGTCTTGTGGGATCCTTGAGAATACCTTCACGAGGAAAGTGAACTACACATACGCGCGTTAACTCTTGAACTTCAGCCGGATGAGGCTTAGAATTAGAACATGTGTTTCAGCTAGTCCCTGTGCTCACGTCCACACAGTTTTCATTCATTACTGTTGCCCTGTCTGGGTTTGGTGTTCCAACTGTTTCCGACGTGGAGCTCCCAGATGCGTGTCCGGTTGGGTTGTGTGTACCGATGCACGAGCTTGCTTGAACGTCGGGCTGTTGACACTGTAGAAATGACCCAGGACTGCGTTGTCGTGGCAATGGCTTCAATGGCATCTATGCTTGTGCCTACCCTACCGAACACTTTAAGCCTCCATAGGCTGAGCCTGGAACTACCACGCGGTGCAACTAAAGCTATTGAAGAGTCCCCGGCTAAAGAAAAGCGATAGCCTTGAGCCCGAGCACCCAAAGCTTCCAAACATCTCTGCCAGCATCCTTGCCACGCCTGATGCAGCAGTTGCTGAGCAGGCCGGCTGCTACTCAGGGTCTGAGCTTTGCTCAGAACTGCAGATCAGTGCAGCGAGACCACAGACATAGGCAGAGACAGAGAGTGGCCTTCGTGGAGGGCGAGTACATTTCCTCCCAGCGTCGCGTCCATCTCTTGTGCTAACTCTACGAAAATCACAACGCAAACGACATGGCAAATGTAGGAAAATATCGAGGTCCCAAGTTTCAAAGCAGGAAGGAGGTGGGGAATCAAGAGGATACAGTGGGAAAATAAACAGGAAGGCTATGCGTCTTGCATCAGACTAGGGCGTGTGTCCTGAGCCTGGCGGCAGTGGGACCAGAAATCGCAACATTGAACGCCCCTGCCTGCGAGGCTCTTCGAATTGTTTTTACCTTGTGCCTTGGCTGCCAGACACGTATCCACTCCCGACGCGGTGGCTTTGCAGACAGATCTGACATGAATGTGGGAAACATTCATGTACGGTTCCGTTGAAGGTTTGCGCTGGGATGATACTTGACTTTTCACGGGTTCATCCTATGTCATGCCTGGCCTGCTGTGTTCGAACTCAGGTTGTGCTGCACCGACGCTCCGAGGCGAGGGACTCAGAGCTGAGATTCCGACATTGCCTCCCTGCTGTCAGCTGCCACAATCCGTCCTGCAACTAGCCCCACACTGATCCAAAAGCACCCCAGGGCCACCCTGTGGTGTGCAGCAGCGGTAGAGCTGGCGCCTCAGACCATGAAGAGCCTGCAGAAAGGCTAGCAACATCAGTAGTAAAACAAAGCATAAGGCCAGGTCGGCAGCATCTCGATGGGCCATGATGTTGGACGAAGTTTAAAACAGTTAGCCATTTGGAATAAGTTGGTAAAGCGGAAAGGCAGAATCGTCATGTACGCTTTCAACGCTTGACTCGGACTCTAACTCCCAGCTTCCGTCACAGGCCGGATCAAAGCCGTAAGCCTTGAGCTCCAGGAGAATCATCTCCCTCAAAGCAACACGGTCCGAAAGTTAATGAAGTGTTCCGTGAAGGCTCGCAACGGGGAGCCCACATCCGTCAGGCTTTGGGCGACGATAGGTTAGACAGAAATGCGACACCGCCCAACCGTCAATCTAAGATTGAAAGATCAGGCGCTACATGTTCGTGGTGGAGAGTTCCCTGCGATGGGGTGCAGCTGGACACTCGATGGTTGCATGGGCAGTGATATTCTGTGTCAGGGCATTGGATGTGGTAATCGCATCCCGACTTGGGGTGCTCACATGTTTTCGCACGAGAGAGAGTTTTGGCTGCAGACGGTGCCAGTAACCTCTGGAACTTACAGAGATCCTGAAGAGCACGGGCCTAGCTTCCCGGCTCAGATGGATGAACCGTCAGTGCCTCCCACTGCCGCAGCCCCACCTTGTTGGTCCAAGAGTCTGACTGGCTAAATGCTTTCCATGAGAATGCTTCCACACAGCAGTATGCCGGCACGCATAGCAACACATTACCTAACAGAACAGGGATAGAGCTGCAAAGGTGTTCAATTTCGTGAGCTATACAGGCTCCACCAAGTCTACAGAGTTCAAAGCTAACCTGTGTGGCTATGCAGCTGCCGACAAGCGACATTTCCAACATGAAGAAGCAAGCCTCCAATGGAGGAAGCACACCGTGCCTCAGATGCAACAAAGGATCATGTAAAGGTAAAGCGGGACGGAACAATGGTTGAGCTCTTGGTCCCTAGTGCGCAGTCCCAATGTTGCCCAGATCCCTTTTGCAAATGCTCGTGGGTAAAGACTGTGACCATCTGACAATACCTGACAGGTTGAAAACAGGTTGACCGATTGACAGCATCGCTGGCTTACAGTCCGAACTCATGACTTCAAACGACACGGAGAACTTGTTGAGGGACGCTTCTCATTGCATCACAGACTCAAGCCACGAAGGCTACTTGGGGATGCCAAACCCACTGGCCTCCGAGAAGTATTGGGAACTCGTGCGCTGGACCTCTGGTTGCAGCCTTCGCAGGTTTAGGCTGGATGAGTCTGGAATTCATGGTTGGAGCTTCGGAGCTGTCAGGTCTTGTAGGTTTCTGCATCCTCCGGAGGCTCTCTCGCTCTCTCTCTCCCTGTCGCTCTCTTTCGGGCCTGTGCGTGCATGTATAGAGGGAGAGATGGACGCACTTGCAGATGTGAATATCTGTATATGTATAGAGAAAAATAGACAGAGCGAGAGAGAAAGAGAGATGTATATGTTTATGTGTATATTATATACATACAAACAGCATCTACACATAGGTTCGTCACAACCATCGCATACGAAAGAGAGAGAGAGAGAGAGAGAGAGAGAGAGACCGAAGGGGGGAAACCTCCTGCACCACAGCCCTGACGAAAGAAAAGAGAGACCGAAGAAGAAGAAGGGGAGAGATGACCGGCCATGTGACCAAGCAAAAGAGAGCTGACAGGTGTGCATGCATACATGCGTGCTCAGCTGGGTCTCAAGCCTCGTTCCCAAATAGCTCACTAAACCCTGAATCTCACTGGAAGCTTGCTGCAGTCGCAAACATCTTGGAGCTCTAGATTTCCATGATCCTCCATTCGGCAGCCATGAGGCCCCTGAACTGTCCATGCCTTTCCCGCCACTATGCAGGCCCTGTAGCTGAGGTTGGTATGATCTTCTTCGAAGTGGCAGGGGGGCCCTACGGCGCCGAGCCGGTCATCCGCAAAGGCCCCTTGGTGGGAAGATTCAGGGAATGTTTAGGGTTTGGGGTTTAGGGTTTAGGGTTTAGGGTTTAGGGTTTGGGGTGGGGAGGTGGAAGCAGGAATTCCCAAGCCTGGGACAGAGGCTTGGTCGATTTCGCCAGGGCTTCGACCTTCTGGTGCTTGAGCGATTTTGAGTCCGGGCTGAACTACTGCTACATTTACTCCATTCTAGACGAGCTGTTACGGCAAAACTCATATCGCCCGGCGCGACGGCTGCCTCGCACCTTCAAGCTGCATAGCTTTCGGTGGAAGAGATCCTGAAGTGGAAGAGGGTTTCCGGTACAAGGCCAAGGATCTGAAAAATGACGAATGACGAACGATTGCTGCAATTCAATGCAGGCGGGCCGTTGCTGGCGATTCTGGGATTTCTGCTTATCCCGCTGATTTGGTCGTTGCCCATCGCAGAGCCTTGGTCTGTACATTCAGAGAAAACTGCTCTGCGCACTGCAGTAACTCGGGGCACATAGTTTGCGCACGTGTGTTTAGCACGTGAGTCCATGCATGCATGTGCAGATACACGCATATCTACAGCGAACTGCACACTGGCTTGTGTTTTGGATCCGTTCTAATACTGTAGCAGTATTGCTGCAAACAGGCGGAGCGAGAGAGAGGGACAGACAGAGACAAAGGTGGAGAGAGAGAGAGAGGGGGAGCGGGTGACCAGTCAGATGTTCTCACCGTACTTGAAACGGCATGTTGATGCAATTGCGGTGTCATGCTGGATGATATGCTCTTGCACAACATTGCTGGAGTCCAAGAAATTTGACAGAGATCTGCAGTATCGGCTCCGCGCTTTCCTCTCGCCGAGGACATTCCAAAGCAAAGGCTTCGGAGATGTTTCGGGTGACAGGATGGGCTTGTCAGGATTTGGGGACTCTTGGATCAGAGGTCACAAGTGCAGGACGTACGAGATCGAGAGTCAAGGGTTGATGGTTGAAGATGTGCTGATGGCGCGCCAAGACAACTGCACATGTGCAGCCCGAGCACGGACAGCAGGCACTAAGTTTAGGCCACACCTTTCATTCCGTTCAACTCAAACCTGCACGTGGTGGTGTTCAATCTTGTGCACAGACGGCGGAGATCACATTCGCACGATCCCATGATCTGAAACTTAGGTGATGACCGCAGAGCTTTGTAGCCACGACCCGCATGTTGGCCAAGACCTCAGATCTGTGCAGCGGGGAAGGGGGGAAGGCGCAACTAGCGAACATGGAAGGACATGAATTTATGGATTCTCGTGATGATGTAGACCAGTGACATCTAGTGACTAGGTCTAGTGGCATCTCGTGATCAAGTTTATCAGCACGTGCTTCACATCTCCTTTAGGCTGCATTTCGTTGGGCTCCAACTCCGTGCAGATGTTCCCCAGATTTGCAAGCCGTGCACCGCAATGCTTCCAACATCTTTGACACTGTTAACAGGGCATGTAGACAGAGCGGACGCAAGCATGTCAAAGAAGACTCCGGGGTCATAACCTGGAAAATTTTGACTTATCTGATGCGAGACAGGTGGCAAGATCCACTTTGTCCACAAATGTTGGGGCCCATGGGTGGGCTGGATGAACGGCAACTTAGACGGCAGTTTTTGAGAGGGAGGGCTGCAAGACTAGACGGAGCTCGTGATCGATATCTACAACATACTCGGATCGCAACTGAGCCTGTGTGCTTCACTCTCAGATGATCTCACTGCCAAGCACACGAGGCTTGTGGCTAAGTCAAGCCTGAGTCTGGCAAACACCTGATCCTTCTTTCTACTTCTTCCTACACATCTGCTACTTCTTCCCCTTGGTTGATCATATCAGGGTTGTGGCTTGTTCTGCATGCTTATTATTTCGGAACCACTTGGTCATACCACGACGAGTGCTGCCCAGGTTGGTTCAACGCCGTTAGCAACGTGTTCGATGCCTGTCTTGATTCCGGTGTGTGCGGATCCGCGAATTGCCGAGCTGTTGGTGGGCGGGGGGGCAGGGTGTACTGTTGATTGCGATTGTCAGTAGAGCTCCTGCTTAGCAGTCGTGTCACTTTATGTAGCACCTCACCGAATTCAGGCCTGAGAGTTTAGTTCGAAGGTTAGTGGCTGCTCAAAGATGGTGTTGAAAATGCAGTCTGCTTGCTAATTACACCTTGCTGAGGATGTAGCCACTCTGCCTGCTATGGCACTGGGCTACCTCGAGGTGCTTATAGGCGGCGCCATTTGCAGACATTCTTGTCGTGCGCATGACGAGCTGCTCAAAAAGCGCTTGGGTCAAGACAATCGACTTGATTGTGTTAAATACAACAGGAAAACATGAATCTGCAGGCACAACGCTCTCTGCGACACAACGCTGGTGGACCAGCTTTGTGCTGGTGGCAGCCGTGACTCATGCAGCATTAGAGATAGAAGGGCGTTTGTCTGTGTGTATGTGTATGCAATAAAATCGGAAGAAGGTTGCACCTGAGCTTCTCCACAAACCAAGGCAGTGGTGACCAATGTCGCCGGGGTGGAGATCGCATCCCGGACGGCATCGACATGCAATTGGGAGGTCATGACAGGTATTTGTCGGAAGTAAGGTCATCTTCCCTGTTGTGAGTCTGAGTACCGTGCATATTCTTGTATTGGAAGGATAATGTGGTCTGGCATGCTAATGAACGCAGGCAGGTTGCGGTGCATCTCATGTGTCACTCAACCAGTCGGACCTACTTCTAGCAACAGCTCCTCGGCGCGAGTCTTTGACGTACATGGTGGATTCCACGGTCTTTGTTTTCAACACCTGGACCTTGAGAACAACTCCCAAACTCGACGCACATGCATTGAAGCGTTTGAGCAGACAAAGGTCGGTGATGTCTCCTATGTCCTGTGCATCGTGGTGTGTCTGCCCAGCTTGGTCCTGGTACTGCACCTCAGCACTGACTTGTCGCCCTTGGTGGCGGACCAGAAGGTTGACGGATTGGGAAGCGTCCTTGCTTTGGAGTGCAGAGTTTGCAGGCTTCAGCCACAAGATATGCTCTCGGAGGTTGGGGCGCGAGGTTGTGCTCAGGGCTTGGGGCCGCACGTTTTCAGACAACATGAAGCGGGTTCTATTTGTCCCGCCAGTTGACACTTGAGCTCGACCTCTGCTAGTGGGTCATCAATAGGGCAAAGGACAGGTGAAGAATAGGTCAAAGAGTATACGGAAGATGTACTAAAAAGGGCGTAATGAGGGCTTGGTTCTGGGATCATGCTGCGAGAAACCCGGGCCCGAGCTCAAGCCTGTCACCGTCCCAAAGCATACACTCGCGCACTCTCAACTTCCAGGTCCCCAATTTAGGGTTTAGGGTTTAGGGCACCCTAAACCGTAAAGCCGCAGCTGCTCTTCCCGGAGTACAAGGCCTTGTTCCCACGCCTTCAGTGTATGATCCTCAAAGACGCGAGGATCGGCACCCCAGAGCTTGCAGACTTCCCGGCACAGGCGGACAT